AATGTATTTATAGCAGACAAAAAGGCCATAGGAACAAAAGCTGCATGGTCATGGCTGCAGAACAAGGGTAAAATATTTTTAAAGAAACAGTTCAAATTCTCTAATGCCTACATAGACAAAAGAACGACAGAAGAAAAGATTGATGAAATAATTTCGCTTTTTGCATCATCTGAAGAAGAGTCCTGGGTGAGTTTCATCAAACAGAAAATTAGGTGTAGTGTAGTGTACTGAAACTCTCCTTACAGACATTCTCAACTTTAAGACAGGTTTTCTCATATGAATGTGCCTGGTTTAGGAAAACAGGATAACCAATTTTAGCGTTTCTTATCAATGATTTCGTCGGCAGAAGATAGAGGTTTGAAGAGCTGCTGACGAGGCCATTGGTTTCTTTATGTATATTTTTCTTGAAGAAGAGGCTCCAGTAACTGCAAGAGCATAATATCCAATCTCTCCCTCAAAATGATGTGAGACGAGTCTCATGAAGGTCTATCAGGGGCTGCCGGCCGATCAAGTAATGTAGGCAGGCTGAAGAAAAATGAGGAAGAGAGGGAGGGTTGGAAACGTGGCCGAGGGGGGTGAGAAAACGTGAAGAGCGAGAGCGACAAAGCTTTCCTCGTTACAGATGTGCGAGGAAGCATTTAATAATATTAATTTGTTTAAATCTTTTCTGCTTCATCTTTCGTGATATGCCATTGGCAATTTCTGTACAATATGATTTTTTGATATGTTTCTATCGTATAACTTTAATTATTCTACCTGTGTGGAAAATTTATTGTTTCGACTTATTTCCATGGTAATAAAAATTTCACCCTTATTTTATATGTGCAGTTAGTTACCCTTCCAAGATACACTTTACTAGGTAGGTAAAGCATTGGTTCCCAAAGTGGGCAGTATCCCGGCCAGGGCAGGGAAAAATCGGGGCGGGAGGGGGGAGGGGGAGGCAAAAACAGTTGGCACGCGGAGCAATAGGATGGTATAGGAGCTTTTTTTTTTTTTTTTTTTTTTTTTTTTTTTTTTTTTTTACAAATGCTTAATGGTTAATGGTTAAAAGCAAGATAAATGTGCTAGACATCTAAGGACATGTAGCACTATAGTTAATGTTAGTGAAGGGTGGTTGAGTTAGTGATTAGTTGTCTAAGCTGGGCAAAGGAATTGGTGAGTCAAAGGGTTA